TATTTGTAAGTACAAAATATGTGCGTTCCGATTTGTATTTGTGTTTTTTTTTGTTTTGACATCTCCACGTACTACTGTGAGTAAACAAAGAATAAGACCGACAAAACAAAATCTTTACGAAATACACGAAAAGAAATAGGGAAAAATAAACAAATATGTAAGTGTATACTAAGCCGGACCCAGGAGGGGAGCTTATCATTTGTTGGAATTTATTATTGCTTGATATTTTACAATATGTAAGTATTTTAAAATTTCCGGATATTCTCCGCTAAAGAGAGTATGAGAATTTAAAATTCTGTTTACTAAATATCCGAGGAAGCTAATTACCTGGACGTTGCTCAATTGAAAAATTGTGATTTTCGACCATTAAAATAACCGGGTAAAACAATTTATGTAAGCATTTTTGTATGCAGTGTCGAATTCTACTGACAGTTATAGTTTTCAACAAGATCACTCTTAACGCGGTGCCAAATATATAATGTTGCGGAGTCACCTCTAATTACGGTGACCATATATCTGAAGTAAAGGTACAGTACACATTCTTATTATCTACATATGTACATTAGGGTGGTCAACAAAAAAAAGTAAAGTCAGGGTTTTAATGCTCTCACCCCCTAGGATTGTTCTATACCGAAAACATATACCCCTGTTTTTTGTTTTCAAGTAAAAAAATATTTAGAGGTCGCTCAAAGCGATTAAAGTTATCCATGTATATTTTATATAGAATTCTTGAAAATCAATATTTTTGGATCGGAAAAGTCTGTATCTCTTTAAGAGACTGGCAATAATAATACCCAACTGCTTATTTAATCATTTTTTAATATAATCTATTTTTCAAAGGGCCCCAAAAATCCCAGAAAAGGCAATGGGGTGACCCATAAAATACGTTTAGTTTTAAAAATGGTTAGATAAATAAACAATTGGGTACTATTCTTAAACGCCTTTCTTTCTTAAGAATTCTATAGATGAAAAACTTTGATCGCTTTAAGCGACCTTTTAAATATTTTTTGATTCCAGAAAAAAACCAGGATACATTTTTTCGATATAGCATTGTTCTTGCTCTTGGGGGTGGGGGCATCCAAAGGAATCGTAATATTAAGAAAAGAGTGCAAACAAAAGAGTGGTCTTACAGCCACATATGGCGCATGAGCTATAACTGGAACTTCAGGATTTTTGGGTAACTTAAAGGTCCAAAGGCAAAGGCTTAATCTTAACTGCGATTTTTATAAACTTCAAAATTCAAAATTATAATTTTTTTGTTCAAACACCTCGATTAGTTTTTTCGATATTTTTATGAAAGATTCGATTTTGTTCGGAACTTGTCTGTGTTTTTCGGAACTTTATTATATATTTTCAATATTGTTGGGAACTTTTAAGAATTTTCGAAAATTTTCTGGAGTTTTTCCGATTTTTCATTGCTACATATTTCCGAAAAGTTTTTAAAAGTTTTTTATTGTTTTGGGACTTTTCAAAATGTTTCAAAACTTGTATGGACTTTTCAGGATACATATTTTGTGTTTGGTATACTGCCCAATTTTTTGACGTTGTATTGTTTTTATAGTGCTGGCCAGGTAATTCTGCGATAACTCATGTTTTAGTATTCAGGATTTTTCTAACTTTTCGTAATTTTTTGGCACCATTCTAAATTTTTTGGGGGTTTTTCTAAAACGTTTAGTTCCAGAAGTGCACTAAATTTTTACTTTGCTGTTTAAAAATGCTTAGAAAACAAAAGTTGTCATCTGTTATCAGCAGGCAAACTTAACCTAATGTGGCAATACGATATCGTATGTGAGGATTCGAGCCCATCATTCGATTCGATTATCGAGAATAGATTTTTTTACAACCAAAATACAAAAGAATACTCGGTTTAATAATGAAATACATGCAAAGCAACAAGAAAGAGTTCGTTATGTACATATGTCGCTAATTGGAAATTTTTATCGAGCTTAATGTTCTTTTGCCACTGGGTTACAAAGAAACGAAGCTAATATGATTTTTGTTAACTGACCCCCCTTTAATAAATATCTTCGTCGGCCATTGTGTGCGCAGACTTACATCCGCACATAGGTACATACATATGTAAGTTGTCAGTGCTATAAAGTGCAACAACAACCGAACACGCAATTAAATTAAATCACAACAAAATCAACGAAGACGCATACAAACTTCAAAAACAACAAAACCCATACCAACTTATTAAAAAAAAAAATAACAAATAAGTCAAACATGTGGAAAATACAACATATTAAGTATACACACAGTGACTCAAACAAGTGTTCTCGTGATGATTTTTTTCTTAATATTCACAACATTTTTCAACTACATTTATTATTGTTTGTTTTTTTGTTTTTCTAGAAAAATATTGTCGGCCGCTGTGGCAAACCTCGGAGGGTATTTCTGCCATGAAAAGCACCTTCTCATAAAAATACAATCGCCGTTCGGAGTCGCCGTAAAACTGTTGGTCTCCTCGGAGGAGAAGCTCGGCCAAACACTAATATATGTGTAAGCGCCAATCTATTATTTATTATTATTAGAAACATATTGTCAAAGCTTTAGCCAAAACCATATAAATCAATGTTAAAGACTATATATCAAATTAAGGAAAATTCAACAAATTATCATCAAAATTTCGTGCTTTTTAATCTGAAAAATTTTGATGAAAATTTCTTGAATTTTCCATAAAGTTTGAAAACTTGATTTATATAGTTTTGGCCAAAGCTTGAACAATATTTTTACAGAAAATAACAAAAAAAAAATTAACTGAAAAAACATTGTGCATATTTAAAAAAAACATCAACACGTGAATACTTGTTTGTGTTACTGTATATGTACAATCAGTTCGAAGAAGATATTGAGCACGGTTTAAAGACAAAATTAAAAAAAAAACAAATAAAAATAAAAATCACATAAAAAACCCATTAAAAAATTATTTTACTTTGCCATACACTCCTCTGAGCTTTGTTTGGCGCTAAGCGCTGACCATTCGCAATCGAACTGTTGCCGCGAGCGGTTGGTTGAGTTTTGTTTTCGATCGTTCAAACTTGAATTTAACGCGTTTGGAAATTTTACAAACCATTTTAAGTGTTAATTGTAAAGTGGTTTTTTGATAAAGTGCATGTATACATACTAAACACATATGTACATATATACACCGTGAAATAATTATTTACTTTGTTGATTAGTAGGCGCACATTTGTAGGCATATTGTGTACTTAAGTGCATTATTATTATTTTTTTGTGATTTGTTGTATAGACTTACTTAAATCTGTAAGTCGTACTGATATTTGTGCAGGAAACTGAAGTCTGATATTTATTGCTGGCTTAGTCGTAAGCAATCGCAGTTGAATGCTTACAAGCATGAATAATTAATTTAAAACGTACATACTTATACAGTGTACATATGTACATATTTACATTGGTATATACATATATATGTAGAAAAATATACCTAGTATATTTTCACAGTGACAACTGTGCATTAGCTATTGTTTAATTGATTAGTAACTTAATATGCCTAACGCTCGATGCGAATGCTTGCTTTGTACATACATATGGACATAGAAACAAAGTTAGTATGCCACACGCTGTGTATATTGCCGGCAAATGGGCCTTTTAGGCCGCGCACAGTGGTCGGAAAATTCATTTTTTGGCGAAAAAAAACACATTTTATCAAAAAAAAAAATATGATTGCTTATTCCATTTCAGAAAACATAAGGGAATTCAGAAATGAATGTTATTTTAGGTGAAAGTTGTAAGTTTGTTCATAATATTGCGCCAATCGCAAAAAGTATTCGTTTACTAAATGTGTAGAAAAATTTTACTATGTTTTTAAAGCTTAAAATTTTACGTTTTCCTCACTAAAAATCAGATTGTTTTGTTAAAATTAATTGAAATTTTTTATATCAAAAAGTTTGATTTTTATTTAGTTATAACCAGGTCATTAGGTCAGCCGCAACTCCCAAAATTTAAAATCGACATAAAATTTGTGATCAGCTACTTTTAAAATCTATGGGAAGTCGTTTTAAGAAATTTTGTGTTAATTTTTAGAGAAAGTGACAGTTCAAATTTAACCCAAACTTCGTGATCAGCGAATCCTAAAATCTAAGGGAGTTCACTTTTATGATTTTTTTTTATTTTTAGAAGCAGATGTGACAGCTATCAGTAGTCAAAGTTTAAATGTGACTTGAAACCTAATGCTTTTTTTTAATTTTCGGAGAAAGTGACAATTGTTTTGACAGCTGTGAACAGTCAAAGTTTAAATTTGACCTGATCAACGAGTTGTAAAGCGTAATGTGGGTAACTTTTAGTTAGTTTATTTCTATTTTTAGAGCAAACGACAGTTGATTTAACAGCTGTCAACTGTCAAAATATAAATGTTATGGCATATTTGGATTCATAACGAAATGACATTCACATCGGCGCAGTTTTCTAATTTTTCGCGAAAAACATAGTTTTCCGACCACTGTGCCACGTCAAAACTTTAAAGATTGCAACTTTATTTTAAAATTTTAATAAAGAAATGGTTTTATTTTTTTTTTATAAAATAATAAGAGTATGCCAACTCAGTAAAAAGGATTTTTTTTTTAAATTTCGAATTTGCTTTAATTTCTTCGTGTGTCCTATATACTTATGTATGTATGTATGTATGTATGTATGCTCGCAACTAATTGCCAATAAGCTTAATTGTACTGATGGCAGTGTATTTGTATGTATGTATATGAACAGACCGGATTTAAAAATATCGTATAAAATAAACAGAAGAAAAGTTCAAGCATAAATTAAAAGTAAAAGAAATCGAAAGATAACAAGATGACGCGACGGCTTTGTGTAGCTGCGCTTGGACTTCTACAAATTGTGGCGTTCGTATATGCGGCGGGGTGAGTATTTGCATTCTTTTAAATGAATTTAGTTATTTTCGCAGCACTGAACACTAATGGCCGTAATTATAAAAAATTTTCATTTTTTATTTTTTTTTTTTTGTATGAGTTACCCGAAAAGAAGCATCGTTGAGAAGCTTCACTGACTCTCGTACTGCTTGTAGTTTAGTTTTCTACTTCATTTCTTAAGTAGGTAATCCTAGGAAGCGGGCCTCCCAGTAAAGATGCTTCTAAATCTGCAGAATTCATTCACGCTTTCGCAGACGTTTTCCATGAAACATTTTTTGTCTTTCTTATTTCCAGTCCAGCTTTATAAAGTTCGCCCCTCAGCAGGCAACTTGCTTTTCCGAGCTCTATTATAGAGTCGACTGTTTGGCGCCATCAGCGCTTTGTTTACAACTTTTCGCATGTATTTAAAATTTCACAGAAGAAAACATAATTAACTCTAATTGGCGTTCGAATATGTAGAGAGCGAAAAAAACAACAAGAAAGTAGGTACTAAGCCAATTAGCAGATAAATTTACACCGCAGTCATGAATATTCTAGAATCTAGACGAATTGTGAGTGAACTTGGAAGCTGTACATATATATGTACAGTTGTCCACAAAATAATAGTAGTGCGATATTTTGATAAGTTTTGGCTATTTGTCTTTTGTTTATTTTATGTTTATTATTTTTTTTAAAAAGTCTAGCTGGTTGTACAACAAACTCCATATAAATTTTTATTTCAAACTTCAGTGCCCCCCATATTAAAGAAAATTGTCGAACACACTTTTTATGGAAAAAAACATAAAAAAAATTCTCAAAAATCCACGGGATTTTTCACCAACTTGAAACTTGCACTTCATCAGACTAAAATTAAATCGGCTACAAAACTGCATACCACAATTTTTTCTAAAGATTCTGATTAAAGAGTTTGAAATTTTGGTGAAAATTTGCAGAATTTTGTTAATTTTTGCACAAAGTTTGAAATGTAATTGTATATGGTGTTTGTTTTATAACCAATTAGGCTTTTCTAAAAAAATAGTACACATAAAATAAACGAAAGGCAAATAGCCAAAACAGACTATTTTGTGGGCAACTGTATGTACGTATGTCACTAGGTACGCAATTCACTAAACATATGCAATTTTTAGAAATGCGCAAAAATAAAAAATTTTATGATTAATTGCGCCGGGTAAATTTTTATCTGTATAAAGTTCAAACGCTTTCAATATCGAGCTGGTTCTTGTAGAGCTGAATGTGAAATTCTGGTAACCGTGCATTTGAGATATCGACGCTTTTAAATGGCTACAAAGGTGGCGTATGCGACGGAGAAGAACCCATATCAGTATATAGATGCGAAGTTCACACTGTCCTACTGCAAATCAAGACGATTTGGTGGCGAAGAGATTTAGTCTCAGGGACACTGAGAAGAAAAATTAGCCATATTCTCTTGATTTCAAGCTAAAACACATTTGTTTTTCCGCCAAACCACCTTATATTTACTCTAATCAGATTTATTTTAGGTGAATTTTTCGCTTGAACATGATTTTGTTCTGCACTTCACAGATCTTTTTTCGGCATTGAGAAAAATCTAAAAAAAAAAACAATCAACAATGTCTAATGGCATTCGAACCCGGGCCATACCTAGAAGCAAACAAATAGTAGCAAGCCACTTGTTTATGTTTGTTTAAAAAACTATTTTCCTGTTCAAAAATTTCTAATATCGCTAATATGGAAAAACGAAAAATGGCACTGTTTGAAAAAATCAAGTTACTTTTTTCTTAGCGGTTGGAATCTCAGGGGTATTTACCCAATCAAGAAGGGAAATCATCTCGTTTGCGCCAATTAATCCGAGATAAGTGGCTGCAGTGGAGGATAAAAGCCGTTGGGATTAATTAATTAATTAATTAAAGTCCTAATACAAAGCATTTATATCCCCAACAAATTATTAGATATACAATAAAAGCTTAGTTTGTCCAGTTTTGCTGAAAGAAATACTGATCTCAAGACATTTTTAAGACAAAGAAGTCAAAACGATAACCCAATAAACTTTTCACACGAGAGCAAATTCAGCAGCTTATTTAAAAAATTGTTTCCGTTAATTCCTTAGAATAACTAATTATACAATTGCAAAAAATTTTAAGACTTTCTTATGTTTCCTATGGCAGAAAAACCTAATAGTTCCCAGAACCCGCAAGGGCAATAAAATAATTTACATTTCCTACATGATTTGCATTTTAGTGACGACACTCAATGACAAACAAGTGAAAAAAAATTAAAAAAAATTTAACCAAACAAAAAAACATTATTTTTGCTTTGTGTGTCGGGAATTCCCTTTCGCTTCGCAATTGCTTATAAAAAGTGCGCACGTAGCATCCAACTATTAAAATTTGAATGTTGCTGGCACGTACAGAGGTATATGTAAATGCGATTGCCCTGCAAGAAATGGAAAGAGTGTGAACAGAACGACGAAACAATCGCAAGACAAAAGGTCAACTGAATAATAAAATATTTTAAATTTATTAAGGAATACAGAACTGCTTTAACTGACGCGAGCGGAAGAAAATGATTTATTGCTATAGAGTCGTATTGATAAAATTTGAAAAAAAAAATCAATAGATTCTTCACAAAATTCCGGTATAAAAGTATATTTTGCACTAATTTGCAATCAAATTAAAAATTAATAAAAATTTACACTCCGTTAATTTCATTTGAAGTTCATAAGCTGTCGTTTCCTTTTATTTTTGAGTCGTTATGAAAATGCAAGACCATACGAGAAATCCAACCTGTACCACAAGCGTACTTTTTCCCTAAGTGACTCCACTTACTCACGCTCAGTGTACAGACAGGTCCTTCTGCATTTCACTTCAGCTGTTCTTATAATTGCAAAATATATCGATCGATGATATAAAACATTATTTAAAATCACCTCAATGCCAAGTGATGTGTGTCAATTTCCTATAGGGTGTTTACTTACATATATTTATGATTGTAAGCATCAGTTGCTATCGTTTTTTTTTTTGGTTTTGATGCCCGACAGACATCAGCTTTTAAAAAATAGTAAACATTGCAAGACAAATCAAATTTCATGATACATCAATCGTGCATTAGTGCTTTGAACAACAATCACATAAATAAACGTACATTAGGGTGCTTCAGAGCATTAGGGGAATATAATATATTTTATATGTATACATAATTTTTTCGTTTTGCTCTAGGTAACGTAAATACAAGGTTTGATTGGAGTAGGTTGACGATAATATATTAATACTGGAAGTTGAACATTTATCGTATTTCGGTTTTCATGAATGCCGTTAAGTTGACTAAAGTTTCGATTTGAGTATTGGTTTTGTATAGTTCACCTTGATCTTCCAGAAACCATAGTTAATATGGTTAATGCTTCTTGCCAAAAAAAGCCAAGCATTCGGTTTTGAGATTCTGCACTATCTGTATTGTTGTTCAACCCATCTGTCACTCTATATAAAATGGAACATCTGTCTTCCCTGAATCGTTATGGGAGATCTCAGACTTCAACAACTTCCCAATCATCGGTCGCAGCATTATATAGCACCGCGGATCTACTTTTGCCACATGTTGAGATCGGATTGGTTGGCTTGCCTTGATTTGCCTTGAACAATGTGCTTGAGACCCTCTTTCTTTGTACCTTGGAAGCCCAGATTCTTTATTAATTTAAGACGACGTGCCTTTAGGAAGGTGTGCTCAGGTGAAACCATTGGCCGTACTACAGGTAAACAACCTGAATCTGAACCAACATTGTTCCGCTCGGTGAATACAGTACCGGCCTCAAGGTTCTTTCAGCTATTGTGAACTCGAATTTGGGCTTCCCGTTACCGTACCAGGTATTAATGTTGGTGAGGGTAGTTGTATCTGCTACATTATTTCCATGGAAAAGCTGCTGTTGCACGTGCCTTAGCAAGGATAAGCTGTTGGAGCTCGCCCCGAGCTATGGGCACGCCAGTATTCTAAAATGCTTCGAGTTCCTACTCGAACATACCACTGCACGGCGATTTTGGATCCAAAGGGATCTTTCACCACCCATGTTCCAGCGAGAGAGGACTGGGAGAGGTGCAGTATCTGAAAAAGCGATCCTTTAGACGTATTTATTATTAGAGCAAAGCTGAATGGGAGGGCGCGAAGAGCTCTCGATCAACAATAAATTAAGGCTACCTGAATGTGGTTATTAAATCCCACAGTCTAGCAGCTATCAATTGTCTTGGCTCCCTAATGGTTCGTTCAGGTGCGATAAAGGATTGTTTGATCTTCTTCTTGAAGCTGCATGGCAGATGATGTAAAGACAGGGAACCCTTGAGCAAGCGCTCCCGGGAGAGAAATACTGGGTGTTCCTCTGAACTAATGTGGTGTACTCATGGATAGATGGGGGTTTGCTCAGTTCAGCGTTCGCTGGACGAACACCTTGGAATGTAAGGGATCTAAATGCGTCTGGCCACGTGTAGACCGTAGGCGGTCTGGGGAGCTCTTAACGCAAAGCAAGTTACACGTCTCACTGTTGATGGGAGTTGTAACTGGTCATTGCGTGATAGGTAAGGCTGAATGTCATCGATGACCCGTACTGCACCGGCTGCATGGTGGACGATGAACTGGAATCATCTCAACACCTCTATTCCCTTCTTTCCTTCTGAACCAGTTATGGAGACCAATATCGAAGGCTCGTTGGGGATCCTTAAAAAAAAGAAGAAAAATGGTTATTTCTTTGGAATAAAGAATGGAATTTGTTTATTTTAAACGATTAGAATAAAAAACAGGTAAAAAAAAGATTTGTTTATTATTCTGAAATACACATTCAGCTATGATTTGCTGTAATTAGAATTTAAACAATTATATGGATATATGAAGTTGAATTAATATTTAAATATAATCTCCATTGTGTGAAGGAACGCTCATTAGGCACATTAAATTAAGCAATTCAATAAATAAAAAAACGAATAAATGTTCAAAATCTCATACCTATTCGCGTTTATACACGTGCTACTACAGCAAAAGCCAGGCTTAGAAACCAGGTTACGGCACTGAATATGTACATAAATTAAATGGCCATAGACTTTTTCCTCAAGCTAAAAAAGTTTCATAATTCATCGCTTTCTTTTTGCTTGCCCTCGAAATACTTAAAACAATTATCGAATGCAAATAGGGTGAGCTACGAAAAAAGAAACCCAAAGTAGCAAGTCAAGAGGTTATCAAGTATAAGTTTTACCCTATTGACTTATTGAATTCGTGAAATTAATCAATGTAAAGCTTCATTTACCTTTCGTGTGAGACAAATAGGAATAAAAAATATAGGAAAGTATTGAGCAAAAAAAAACCTTGATTTTGCAAAATTTTGTGTATATTTCTCTAACAACTTTTCGTATAGCAAACAGTAGTATTAGCAAAAAAAAAAAATGTATAAATCGACATATCGCACAAAACAGTCCGGACAGTTTGCGATAATGCGGGAGTAAACAAAATATTTTTTCACATAACAAAAACAAAAATACAGATACATACACACAGTGGCGGATTTAAATATTTGCCGCCCCTAGGCAATTCATAACTTGCCGCCCTTTTTTCACGAAAAAAAAAAATATATATATATATCAAATATGATTGTTATTGTCAGTGCTTTATTACAATATAGTAAAACACGATGTATTCTGCACTGAAATGCTTTAGAGGTTTGGACAAGTAGAATCCAATTATCAGGACATTGAAGTAGCGCTATGCGAGTATACAAAATAAAATCGCTCATCCGGAAGATTTTTTGACCTCGCGCAAGACAAACAGAAGACCATACACAGATACACTGCCTAATTTGACATACGACGGAAGCTGACCTTCAGATTATTCACGTTATGATACACTTATGAAAAACTGGTGGGCTTGGAATCAAGAATTTTCTCGAAAATGCACGCTCGTTTTTCGGCAGTGTTGTCAAGTGTGGTAACCTTTTAGATGATTCTCGTTCTCGGGGCAGCGTGTCGGCTGTTTCTTTGCGTCACGCGCAGGCGCGCCGTCAGGTTTCTAAGCCGCGTGAATGAAAGTTAAATGGAAATTTCAACGACTGCTATACTAAGGAAAAATTCGCAGCGTAATTCTAATTTTGAATTGTATTGAATGAGATGAATCATTAATAATATTTTACAGACACAAACACAATTTCAAGTGCAGCTGAATCCAAATAAATTTTTTTCTTTTAATTTAGCTGTCTTAAATTTTGCCGCCCCTTAATTCTGCCGCCCTAGGCTTCAGCCTATGTTGCCTGTACGATAAATCCGCCACTGCATACACATACAGAAGCGAAAAACCCAAATTTTTTATTTTAAGTTGCTACATTTGCAACAAAAAAATGCATACGGTTTTTTGCATATATAATTTTGATTTTGTGTGTATAATTAATTAGTATGTGCGACAATTTTAAGGCAACGGCCGATAAACCGGATTGTCTCTTATACATATTTTTTATCCTACTAAGTAATATTATAATTGTGAAAGTTTGTGTAAGTATGTATGTCTGTTGGTCTTTCGCGCTAAAAAATGGCTAAACATTTTTCAATGAAATTTGGCACACAGATCGGTTATAAATAATATGAAATAAAGCCGCTTTACAAAGTAAGTTACGTATCAAGGCGAATTTATACAAGGTGGTGTTGATGGCGAATTAAATTTTCGCCGCGGTACTACTGAATGTCAAAATGATGTGTTTGTTGTAAACAAGGCGAATTCATTTTACAACAAACACATCATTTTGACATTAAGACGTACCTCGGCGAAAATCTAAATTCGTCATCAACACCAACTTGTATAAATTCGCCTTGTTACGTATAATGCAGAGTAGTCGCTCGGAGTAGTTCGGCGCTTGGAAATAACTTCGGCTGCACGTTTTGTTGCAACTGACAACGTAATGCATCGTCGGAGGTATTCATTTTGTGCTTTACTAGTAGATGACATTGGTCATGGATGACAATTTTGGTACTAAAAACTGAAAGAAAGCATGGCTTGCCTCGTAAGGTGCTTACCTATTTTCCCAGTGGGATGTGTTAGTTAGTTACACCGACATGACTCTGACAGGACTTTGAATGATTCGACTGTGTGCAGTCAAAGGGCACAGATGACTCGCGATTAAAAGTCTGATTATGGCAACTTAACTCGCCTGTCCAAATATGAGCACAATCCATTTAAGAGAACTTTTAAGTGGCGGCCTCTACGTTACGTTAAGTTGCCATACTCTGACCTTTAGACGCATCTCCTATGGCGCCTATTAAATGGGACTCGAAAAGATTGCATGACTCTTTATTCGCGCAGAGCAGAGGTGCAATTTCTCTGGCCATGGGTCTGCTAGCGGGTCACATTATTGTAGGGAGGTACACGGAGAGTCTCGCAGTGCGCTATACTAGCTTCTTTTGGGCTGAAAAAGGGAGGAAGAGCCAGAAACCGTAAGGTATTTACTTTACGAATATCTCGCACTTTGGAGGAGAAGACTGAATTGTATACATTCATAGGTGATGGGAACTTTAAGGACCTAAGCGATATACTTACGTACATAGGTTCATATTTCTTATGAAAAGTGACAGAAGGAAAAAAATCCTTTAAATTGCTTTCGTGAAACTGGCAGTTAATGAGACAGGTACACTTATGTATGTTGACTAGGTTATTAAAATACGTACTTATATAGACCAGAAATTTCAAACTGCCAAATATACAATTTCTAATCGATATGCGTACTAATATAGCTTCATCTTTTTGCAGCCACTATTCAGTTATCGGACCCGGCACCATTCGTTCCAACTTCAAATACAATGTCGCTGTGTCTGTGCATAAGGCTGAGGGACCCTGCAAAATCGATGTTGCCATTACAGGTCCCTCGTACAATGAGACAAAAACCGTCGAAGTGCAGCCAATGTCAACGGAAAATGTGGAATTCAATGTGCCCACACTAAAAGAGGGCGACTATAATCTTACGGCAAAAGGTGTTTCTGGCATTACTTTTGAAAATACGACGAAGCTGAATTATGCCGACTACAAACCCGCTATTTTCATACAAACTGATAAGGCCACCTATAAGCCGGGTGATTTGGTGCAGTTTCGTGTGCTATTTTTGGATGCTAATACGCGTCCGGCCAAGATTGACAAGCCTATTACAATACTGATTAATGTGAGTATTTTTTTTATTTCAACTGTGTACTTAGATATTTCAAAAGTCCATAATACATATATACATACATCTAATTTTCCTTGCAGGATGGCGCACAGAACCGCATCAAACAGCTGAAAGATGTGAAGCCGACCAAGGGTGTTTATACCGGCGAATTTCAGCTCTCCGAACAGCCTGTGCTTGGCAATTGGAATATCGATGTACTCATCGATGGCCAGAATCCAGAAACGAAATCATTTGAGGTGGCCAAATATGTATTGCCCAAATTCGAAGTGTCCATTGAGACTGCCAAAGATGTGGCCATTCCTGATGGCGTCATTAAGGTGACCGTACGCTCAAAGTATACCTACGGCAAAGCGGTAAAAGGCAAAGCATCGGTTTCGATTAAACCAATATATCACTATTATGGCAACAACGATCACATGCAAGCAAATAAAACTATCGATGTCGATGGCAAGGGTCATGTAGAATTTGACTTGACTAAGGAATTAGGCATATCTAAAGAACACAGTTATGTGCCGCCACTTAAATTATTGGCCATCATGGAAGAGGAACTCACGGGGAATAAACAAAATGCCACTGCAACAGTTAACTTACACTCGGAACGTTATCGCATTGAGGGCGTCGATGTGCCATATACCTACCATCCGGGTAAACCGATAAAAATTACGGTTGTTGTGAAGAATGTGGACGGCTCGCCGGTGCGCGATACAAAGAATAAGGCAAAATTGATTGTAGATCCACCGCGTAACTATATCCTTCGTGGTTTCCGTGGCGAACCGAACGCTGAGGCCACAACTGAAAAGCCAGAAGATATGACTTTGGAATTCGAGTCGAATTTGGATGAACACGGCATGGCGTCTTTTGAGTTTACGCTACCCGAAACTGACCGATACTTCTCGATTAAATGCCAATTTTTGGATACATCAACGTACCTGAATTCAATATCGAAATTTACACAAACCATTGATGCGCCGGAATTGTTGAAGTTGACAGTGAATACGGAAAAGTGAGTGTAAAGAAAGTGGCGTAGCAAAAAATACTGATTTGTTATTCTACATATTTAATTGATATTTTATGTTGTTTTTTTTTTTTCTTCTTTTTACAGGCCACGTCTTGGTAAACCCGTTACAGTTGAAGTGAAATCCAGTGAAAGTATTCCATACTTTGTTTACACCATTGTGGCGCGCGGCAATATTGTTAAGTCGGAACACGTAGACGTGCCTGAAGGACGCAAGTCGCAACTCATTAAATTCTTGCCAACTTTTGAAATGGTGCCGAAAGCAAACGTGTACGTTCATTTTGTCTTCAATAATAATTTAGTCTTTGAAGAGAAGTCTATCGCATTCGAGAAGGAATTCGAAAACTCGGTAAGTGAATCTGAGCATTTGAGGTATTTACATTTAGCTGGGTCGAGCGTAGACGTTTGTAACAACCCCTGACAGGTAATTTTGGCCTAAGATAGTTGAAAGTCTTTTGTAAGACAATTGAAAGATAATGTTGAATATTTTGTATTGTGGCTCTGAAGTCTTAACAAAAAAATTCCATTGCCAACTTTCATGATGAAAAGTTGTTTTGACAGAAAGCAACAGCGTATTCCAAATGCAGATGTATAAGTATGTATCATTTTGCTCGCGCTGCTCAAACAGACGCAATGACCGAGTGAGCAAAACACTGGCGATAGATCCGGGGTTAGTATCCTAGCGCAGCGCTTTTATATATATTTATTAAGGTTTTTTTTATTACATTTTGCAACTTTATTGTTTTAAAGGCAAAATATTTTTTTTTTAAATTTAATGTTACTTTTATTTTTAAATTAATTTTCTTTCAAGCTTTAGACTTTATTGTTTTAAAACCAAAAATACCTTTTTGTTCTCACTTAATTTATAGAAGCTTTGTTAATTCTTTTAGTTCGATTTTGTTCTTTTTTGAATTTAGTTTTTAATTTTTAGTTATGAGAGAAATGTGTTATTTTATTTCATTTACTTATTTGAAACTTTAATTTTCCTTTTCAATTTAACTTTTATGTTTTATGGTTTTAAAACAAAATAATATTTTAAATTAATTTAAATTACGTAAACTTATATTTTTATTTTTTCTTATTTTAATGTGATTATATTTTTTAATCGATTTTAAAATAATAGTTCACTGTTTTAATAAGATTTTTTCGAATTTAATTTATAGAAACTTTCTTAAAATTTTTTAATTTATTTGTTGACTTAATTTAGTTTAATTTTCAGTTTTTAGTTTTTAAAAGAAAATATATATATTTTCTTTTAATATTTGAAAACTTAATATTTTGATTAAATTTTTGGATTTTATCGTTTTAAAAAAAAATATATATTTTTTGAATTTTCGTTGTTTTCTTTTTTGGTTGAATTTGTTTTCTTTTTTAGTGTTGTTTTAAAAAGAATTTTGTTTATTTTAATTAAGTACCTATATTGAACTTTGCTAATATTTTTTTAGTCTGGAATTTTGTTTAGTATTTGTCAATGTTTGTTTTTTTTTTTTAATTTAAATTTTAGTTTTTGTTGTTTAAATTGGAAAAATTTATATATTTTCTTAATTTCATTTGATTTTTTTGAAATTGTTTTATTTTTTGCATTTTTAAATTCAACTTTTAGATTTTATTGTTCTAAACAAAAATATTTATTCAACAATTTATTTTTATGAGCTTGAGGCCGTTTTTAATGTAAAATTATTGTGGAAAAACCACAATAGTTTACAATTGGTCGAAGTTGTTGCTGCCAATTTGGAAATCACACATCTCCCAATCACTAGGGTATGAACCAGCGACTTCGGATTACAAAGCCAGTGGTCTACCCACTGAGCTAAGTTCGGCACGTAAACTGTTGCTGCTTTTCCACTTTGTCATATGTCAACCCAACTACAATCAAGGGCAACTATTGTGGTGCTACTTAAACTTGGTTATGTGGTTGCTGTTGTTGTTTTTTCAGTTAATTTCTAGAATTTCAACTTGAAGGCACGCTCGTTCTTAAATATTTGTTCCCTTTTTTTCGGAACTGTAGTCCTTTTCTTTGTCTTGTATAAATATATGTACATACATATATACACATACCTAATTGAAATATATATATATATAAATCATTGATCAAACCACCTTTTTCTTTTTCTCTATCACAGATCGACATCAGCGCTCAGCCGCAAGCCAAACCTGGCGATGATGTGCAACTCCAAATCAAAACCGATCCTGAATCATTTGTTGGACTGTTGGGTGTCGATCAAAGTGTACTGCTGCTTAAATCCGGCAATGATATCAACAAAGATCAAATATTCAATAGTTTGAGCAACTTTGAAGCCAATACACCATGGATGCGTGGCTATGGACGCTATCCGGGCCAAGAGTCTGGTGTGGTAACAATGACAAATGCAAATTATCCCTACAATGATGGTAAGCGAAATCGAAAAAAAAAACAAATTTTTCCTTCTTTAATTTGTATAGTATTGTGTAAAACGAGGCACATACTAGTTAAATAGGTAATTATTACATACTACATATACCTCACCCCCTTTTTTTTTGGAAATGTGAACCCAAAGAATTATACCTAGTACCACTTGCACTCGCCGATGCTGAGCTAAGCGATGCCTTTTTTGAAACTGAGGTCAATGACGAACCCATACACAGAGATATTAACGATAGAACTATTGATCCCTCAGCCTATGGCATATTGCCAATACGGAAAAATTTTCTAGAATCTTGGATATGGACAATGCATAATAGGTTCGTCCACAGTGTAGTTAATTTGGAAAGGCACAAGAGAGCACTTATAATAACTATTGCTTAATACACACCGTGGTAACTGAATGCAATAATGACGGTTTCAAGCTAGCCATTGATTAATGGAGGAGCAACTGTTGTACATACATACATAATATTTAGAAATGTTGCATGTTGGGAGGAAAAGTTTTCAAATAAAATACTTGCTTTTCTAGGATTTAAAAATTTCCAAATCAAAAGGAATTTGATATTTTTAGTGCGGTGGAGGGCAACACGACTATACTTCAAGCTTGCATATACTTAAATATATTACCACTCTCGATACACAGCAAAAAAAAATTGGTACTATTTTCCCTTCTAAGACTTCTGTCAAAATAGTTCGGACAAATATTGAGACCTACGTGAACTGGACCGATTTGAAAACATCCCCAAAATTATCTTTACTTTGATTCCGTTGATAACATGTTTAAACATTTTTATGCGAACATTTTAACTTAAGGTGATATTTTTTTTTTTTTTTTTTTAAATAATTTTATTTACTCCACTATTGGATGCATTTTCAAATCGGCGCAGCTCTCGTAAATCTTAATATTTATACGAAATATATATAATATGTTTTACAATTCCCGTGGAAATATCTCCACCTTTGTTAGTGAGGCGCCCTAACATATACCTACACTAAAAGGGTCTAGGACCGCCTCTATATACCCGAGTGTTAATATTGTAAATAAGCTGCAAGTATTTGCAATTGTTGCATTGAAATTGTGGTTGAAAAGCGGCACATTTATAGTTTCTTTGCAACATATACATATGTTTAAAGCTTCTCTTGATATCCAATTTGTTTCTAGTGTTCAATCATAATCTTGAAGATATCCACGAGATAGAGTTATATTCATTGTCATCGGACGATGAAACAGACTACTCATACTCCAAAGACTCCTTAGACTCCATAGACCGTTTCGATGGTTCAACCGGTACAACACAGACTTCTGAGACTGCTCCAAAGCTGCGTACAGAATTCAACGAATTATGGATTTGGTATACAAATACAACAGCTAATCTTACTAAAGGGTTAGTTGAAGAGAGATATTTAAAGTAGAGTGTAATTGTTGTATGCATACGAAGCTGTAGGTATATTATATGGCCATGATGCGGTGTACAATGAATAAAAAACTAATCATTTCCATTAACGTGTTTGTACCTAATGCCGGATTTCCACTGGCCATTAAATGGAAACATTTTGCATGACAAATATGGGCATAAAAAAACCGGATCGTTGTGTTAAAAATTAAAGTCATTAAGTTTGCTTCCACACAGCATTGCATAATTTAAAATTTTTTGATTTTAAATCCGCTTTTAATTAAGAAATCCATTTGATTTGTGATTTGATTAATCGACAACAAAAAATTGTATTTGTGCTTTGATTTCTCTGCCGAATAGAAAATAAAATATATTTGTGATTTGACTCGATGGAGAAGTAAAAATTTAATTTAGTTGGAACTTGATTCGTTGGTCAAATAAAAAATAAAATTTAGTCGTGGTTTGGTTCCTCTACTAAATACAAATTTTTAATTTATTTGTTATTTGATTCGCCGGACAAATAGCAAATAAGATTTATTTGAGATTTGATTCTTTGGGCAAATAAAAAATAAATTTTTATTGCGATTTAATTCTTCAAATAAAAAATTCAATTAGTTGTGATTTGATTCGTCGGACAAATAAAAAAAAAATATTCTTATTTGGTTTATCAACCAAAAAAGAAAAAAAGTATTTGTGAATTGATTCGCCAACAAAAAAAAAATGCTTATGACTTGATTTGCATTGAAAAAAGTATTTTTTAGTTGGAAAATCACAAACAAATTAATGTACGCGACAAATCAAATCGCAAATTAATTTTATTTCTTATATTATCCAGGACTTGTTACATTTTTCAATTAAACAATCAATTTGATTTTTGGATTGCTGGTAATTCGGTATAATGCTGTATTTCCACTAGGCAGTAAAGGCACAAATTTTAATGAAATAGTATGGTATTTAAAAATACCACAGCTGCGATTGCGTTAATAATAATTAATAAAAATAGTCATTGAATTCGCCTTCATATGACGGTTTTTTTTAGTTCCACAAATATTTGGTCACTTCATTGCATAGTGGAAATTCGACATAAGTGTTGTGTTGTTCTCAAAGAGCATCCGATTCAGAGTATGTGCGAGTATTTGTAGTTAAAAACGTGTAGTTAGATATCTATTTGTTGTTGTAATTAACAAAACAGCATTTCCATTTTAATGTTTGTCCTATTGTTTTTTTTTTGCAAATCTCCAAGACCAACGAGCTCTTTGACTTTAAAGTGTGGCGAAATGGCAATAACCCCCCGAAATATTAATTGTGTAATTTCGAATATTTGTATTACGCATAACTATATTTGATTGGATTAATAGTTAGAGAAGGCAGTAGGTCCACTAGTTACCGCTACCTCTATTTGCTTGCAGGACTTCTTAAATTCATGTTTTATTAAGTAACAACGCGAGGTCCCCTGAGACAATCTCATTTAGGTCATGTACTTCTAAATAGTTACGGTGGTCCAAGGAAAGGAAGTCTGAGACTATTTACCAAGGGCTTCGCAGTAACCCTAATGTGCTCTCCTTCTACATCCAGATGTGTATTGTAATTTCAACAAACGGCGCTTCTTGACAGGCCGATATAGAGTTGTCGTTGTGTGAGTCCATGTACAGTCCCATTCTGGGCAAATAAACTAACTGAAATATGAGATCTTCACTCATTACGATCGATATTAATTGAGAGTAAAATCTGTAAGTCCGTAAACTTTTCAAGAAAGTTCGGTAACTTACGGAGGATTTCAAGTTGAAACCGGGGGGAGATGTCCGAGAACCATTAAAATTCGGAGAGAGAGAGTTTCTGCACTCTGCTGAAAGGCTTTAATAGCGAAAACTATGTAGATTGCGAGGGCCCCGAGCCCGATATTCCTCTTTTTAATTATGATGAGATTAAGGTAGTAAAAGCCTGATTCCAAAGTTATAAACCTACAGGAACCGATGGATAGCCGGGAGAGCTATGCAAAACCGGTGGGATGCATGCAAAATGTATACCTGTTGATTAGAATTTAAGAGTTCTCCTCCCAATTCAGAAAAAAGCTGATCCAACCATTTGCAGCAACTACATCGGGATCATTCCTCCACGAACTGATCGGACCTTTTCATTGTGACTTTAAAACTGGTAGACCCACCATAGATCAGGTATTCACCATATGCCAAATCTGGGAAAACATCAGCGAGAGGTTAGTCCTCCAAAATCATCTCTCTTTCGATATGCTGCCTACTCAAAATTAGATAAAAATACAAAGCACGTGGGCCTGCTCGTAAACGATAACAAAGTGAAATAACTCTAATAAATATAAATATAGTCTCGATGTTGTAGAGAACTTCTCCTCTACTTAAGAACCTGCATTAACATTAAATTATCCTGGAACTTTTGTATGTGGTCGACTTAGGCTAGTATGTAATAGCAAGCGGCGTAGTTCATTCTAGATAAGTAAATAGCTTCGTATGCATACAAACTCTTCCAAAAAAAAATATAGATTTAAAATTAATCAATTTGACAATTACATTCTTTTACATACTTACAAATCTCACACCGTCTTCAAAAGAGTCACAACTCAAAATAATACCTTCGTCAGAAAGCGCGAAAAAATATTTCGTAGCACATGCTAATCATATGGGCAAGGGCGTATTTACCTTAGGTTGCAAACAGAGTGGAAGCGAAGCCGAAGACGAAAAACAGTGCAGTAGTAAACATATGAAAGTGATCACAGTGCAAGCAAAGACGAAGACGAAGATGAAGACGTTGCGCAAGCGGTCAACTTGAAACAGTGCGGTACTGTTTTCAAAGACGAATCGCTTGCTGTGATGAATTGTTTACAATTTATTTAAATGTTTGCAATTGTGAAAAAACGCGCTTTTCAAGAAATTGGCTACATTTTTGGCAAAATGTAATCAAACGTATTAATTGGCATTCTTGTATATTTGAAAAATGTCTGTCCGTCTTGCCGTAACACATAATACAAGTGGCGAAATTCTCCAAAAGTTGTCCTATACAAACTATTTCATGAATTGCTGTTTTTTCTTTATTTTCTTTTGATTTTATCTAAAAAAATGGTTTTATTTAGAAACAAATCTTCATATCATTCATCTTCCACTATGTACACTCGCCAGCTTGCCCGCAACGCAAGCAATTCGTCTTCGGCTTCGTCTTCATCTTCGTCTTCGGCTTCGCTTCCACTCTGTTTGCAACCTTAGGTTTTTTTAACAAATTATAACAAACATTTGCTCCAGCTTTTGCTGAAAGGTAAATAAAAGCTCTGTGTACATTTTTAGTGTATAATTTCAAAAATGCCAAATTTTGAGTTGTGACTCTTTTGAAGACGGTGTGCGATATGTATACATTCGTACATAGCCTGTGACTTGCATACTGACTTTGCTGTTAAGCTCCGCTCTAGAAGTACTTACATATACTTGCGGTAATGAAAGTGCAACTTTGCATGTGAAAAGAATGATAGTTAAAACTTAACAGGAAAAAGTGCCTTAAATAGTAAATGCAAATGAATAATTTTTAACTGTAAATATGTACACACACCCACACTCACACATGCAACTAAA